TAAAAGTTATGGTAATAAATTCATATTTTTTTTTTTTAAACTTTCACTTTAAAGGACAAAAAGAAGTTGGTTCAAAATGATGACTTTTAATATATTAAAAATCGATAATAATTTGAAAATAATTAATTATAAAAATTATATAATAGATAATTAAACGAATTACTAATCTGGATATAATTATGGAAATAGGAGTTGATGTTGGGTTGGGTTGGTTACATTTTTAACTTTATAATGCTACAACTCATTGAAAAATGTATGAATCAACACAATTTTTTTATGAGAAATAATATTTTTTAATAATCCCTTTTTCATTCGACATTCTTTATCTTAATCAGGGTATTAATAAGGAACTAGCAGATCATGCAGCTTTTGTAATTATCCACCAATTTCTTAGAATTAAACACTATCTACTGATTTGCATCGAAGCGTTTCTTATGATAGTGATTTTAATCACTGTCAGATTAAATCTATACTGGACCCAACTATGCAACGTCCCCACTATGCCGCGACTCCACTGTGCTGGGTTTTTTTTATTTTTTTTTTTTGTGTTTTTGAACGCTCAATCTCAGCTCTNTTTTTTTTTTTGTGTCTGTGAACGCTCAATCTCAGCTCTCGCTGGACCGATTTTGATGAACAATATGTCAAAATATCACAAATCGTATCTAGTCGAAGACATTACCCTCAAAAATTTGCTAATTTTGTGTTAAAATTCTTGATATTATATTTTACATTTTTTAACATTATGTTGCTATAACTTTTTAAAAAATGCATGAATCAACTTTATTCTTTAATGATAAATACTTTATATATACTTCTTTCATTCGACATACTTTTTTTTAAAATCGGACCATTTCCCTTTATACAGGGGGGGTGCAAACCTTTTAAAATGCGTATAGAAAGTAGAACTTTTTCAACTTAACTTTTGAAAATGTTCCGGAAAGACTGACACTTTTATATATATCTTAAATTAAAGCTTATGTAATATACTTTAATTTGAAAAAAAAAAATTTGACCTCTGGACTTGTCTTCGTGGTGAAAACGGACATCAAAGTTAAAGAAAAACGTACGATTTCCGTGAAAAAAATCTCGATTTTATATGTTATATTATTTAATTTATATTTTATATAACTTTTGGAAAAATGTATGGATCTATATTATTATTTTTTTATAATAAATATTGATATACCCCTTTCATCTGGCACGCTTTTTTTGTAAATCGGATCATACCCCTTTAACAAGGGGGGTCAAAACTTTAAACATGCGTATTGTTACTAAGATATTTTCAATTTAATTTTTGAAAGTATTCCGGAAATACTGACACTTTTATATATATCTTAAATTAAAGCTTATGTAATATACTTTAATTTGAAAAAAAAAAATTTGACCTCTGGATTTGTCTTCATGGTAAAAATGACTACCGTATTCAAAAATTTGCTATTTTTGTGTTAAAATTCTGGGTTTTGTATTTTATTTTATTTTAAAATACCTGACTAGGGGAGTACAGATTTTCATAAATATTATATAAATTAAAATTAATATAGCATAGAAAGTTAAACTTATTTAAATTTGTTTGCTTCTTTTAAGTCGAGAAAAATATCTTTGAAATTTGAACTAGCTTAAATACCCAACTTTTTCAATTGTCGGTAGCAAAGTACGATTGCCGAGTTGGTAAAACTTGTGTTTTACACGCTTGGGGTACGAGGTGCCAACCCAAGTATAACAATGAATTTTTTGCATTTTTTCTTAATTCTTTTTAAGTTAGTATAAATTTT